CCCCCCGGGGTTATTGCCCCCGAGCTGTCCCCCCCCCCGGGGTTATTGCCCCCGAGCTGTCCCCCCCCCGGGGTTATTGCCCAGCGCCGCCTCGGCCCGAGGGCTGTTTGGGACTCCCCTGCGAGTGGGGGCCCTGCCCGTCTATGGATAGACGGGCATGAGATATACAGCTAGATAAGAATTAGCTGTATATAGTGTGTAGCGTTAGGTGTATCGGCACCTAAACGCGCCGACACAGGCGGGTGCTGCCCCGGGGCCGGGCGCGTCCCGCGGGGAGACCCCGGGATGCTCCGCCGGGCTCCTCGCGCTGCCCGCGCCGTGTCCCGCCTCGGCCCGCGCTGCGCTCCCGTCCCGGGATCCGCGCAAGTTCTCCCGCGGCCGCGTGACCTTGGGAAGCGCCAGGGCGCCGGGCACCGCGTCCCCATGGATGGGGTCGGCGCGGGCGGAGGAGCCGCCCCGGGGCCGCAGAGGGTCCAGGCGGGTCCCCGCGACGTCCCCGCGCCGCTGCCCGGCCCGGGGACCCGCTTCCCGCTCCTTCCTGCACGAGCCGCTGCCCGGAGCGCAATTAAGGCCGGGCAATTAGCGCCCTTTGGCCTAATGAGCGCCCTTAGCGAGCAGGGGCCATGAGGAGGCCGCGCTGAGCGGAGCGAAGGAGCCGGGGCGGGAAGAGGCTCCCGGCCGGGAGCGGTGCTTTCCCGAGCCCCCTTCCTCCCCCCGGCTCCCCGCTGTCACCCCCGGGTCCCTGCGTTGAGCTCGGGGTCCCGCTGCGAGGCCGGTCCTGCCTTTGGTGCTGCTTTCCCGCGTGTTTCCCGGGAAAACGCCTAGGGAGCGGTGGGGATGTGGGGGGAAAAGGGGAGCGGGGGAAGTGCCGGGGTGGGGGGTGTTTAGGGGCGGGTGGCAGATGTCACGGGGGAAAGCGGGACGCGGAGCGCGGTGGCAGCCCGGGAGCTTCCCGGAGCCGGTGCCCGGGATCCGCGGGCCGGGAGCGGGAGGAGGCGGCGGCCGGGGCGGCCCGCGGGCCTCACGCGGCCTCTCCTCGTGCAGCTCCGGTGGCGGCGGCTCCCATGGCCCCGCGGCGGCCCCGCTGAGCCCGCAGCGCACCATGGCCTCCGCCAGCAAGGGTGAGTGTCCCGGAGCCGGCGGTCCCGGTACCGCTGCGGCCGGTCCCCGCGCTGCCCTCACGGAGAGGCCGCTCCTGGGACGCCGAGCAGTGCCTGCGCTCATCCCGGGGCATCCCTGGCGCCTTCCCGCACGCTCCGGTACCGCGGCTCCCGTTCTCCTTGCTGCCTCGTGCCAAGCTGCCGGGCTCAACCAGGCCGGGTTAATTCCGTCGCCTCTGGGCGCTTTGTCGCGCCACAAAGAGCCTTTTCTTGGGGACGCCGCAATCTGCTCCGCACGCGGTGCCAGACGGGCACGCGGCGGCTCAGGGCACCCGCGCCGCACGCTCTGTCCTCCGGCGCCCCCCTCTCCGGCCGAATCCAGGCCCGCAGGCGGCTCCTGGCCAGGGAGCCCCTTTCCCGGGGCCTCCCGGCAGCAGGAATGACTCGGAGCGGGCGCATGGAATGTCCTGCGGCCTCCCAAGCATCTGGGCTGCAAGGTGCAGCGTTGCAGGGGGGGTCCCTTGCCTTGATGTCAATGTCCCGTGGTGCCCATGGGCCCTGGCTGGAGACCCCCAGCCCCTTCCCGGGATCGCAGCCCGGAGCGGCGCGGTTCCCTGGGGACGGGCAGCGGAGGAGGAGGATGAAGGCCGGCTCCCTGGGGAGCGCGTGGGCACCTCCGGGCGCTGACGGCGGCCTCGGGCCGTGCTCCGTGCGCAGGCGCCAAGGCCAAGGCGGGCGCCGTGCGCTTCGCCCCCGCGCCGCCCGCCGACGCCGCCCCCGGCCACGTGCGCTTCGACGAGAAGCTCCGCGACTCGGCCGTCGCCGTCACGCAGGAGAAGGACGGCAGCTTCCTGGTGAAGGTGGGCGCCGCGCGGCCCCTTGCCCGCAGGGAAACTACCCTGGGGGAAAGTTCGAGGAAGAGGAGGATTGGGAAGGGGGAGGAAGGGGCTGCTCGGGGCCTGGGTTCCCTGTGGGGCGGCAGCGGCACCGGATTCGCGGTGCTCCGGCGGCCCTTTCCCAAGCAGGCGCTGCTGGGAGCGCGCGGTGCCCGGGGACACCCCGCGCTGGGGGTGCCGGAGCGCGGGGATGGTGACGCCGGCGCCCCGCGGGTGGCAGTGAGTCACAGCCAGTGACTCAGCTGGGCCCCTTGCCCTCGTGGTGGCTCCCGTTGCGGAGCGCATCCCACTGCAGCTCCCACGGGATGTGGAGATGCACATGGGCTGGAGCTGCTCCTGTGTGGAGCACATCCCGTCCTGCACGTGTCCCTGCCCCGGGAGGAAGCACCGCACGGCGGCGCTTGGGCGGGAATGTCCCCTCGGCAGGGCACAGGAGGCTCCTGCTGCCCCTTCCCGGCCCGGGCATGTGGCCGGGATGCAGCTGGAGCCACCGCCACGCGGGCTCCGCTCTTACTGCGGCCACCAGCAGCACCATTCCAGAACGTTTTTCAAATTAAACTGGGGAGAATAAACTGGGGAGTTGCCCTCCTGCTCCCCAAATTGCGCAGGGAGGCACTAACTCCTTTGCCCAGAACCCTCCCTTGTCCCGCTCGCTCTTCAGCACCTGCAGAGGTTTCCCCATTATCCCTGTTTTCCCGGCTTCCCGCAGGTGGGCTTCCTGAAGATCTCGCACCGCTACGAGATCACGTTCGCGCTGCCGGCGCTGCCGCGGCTCGGGCGCGCCGTGTGCGCCGCGCCGCTGCCCAACCCCAACCTGCGCGTCACCCGCATCGCGCCCGCGCCCCAAGGTAACCGCCGCGCCGCGGGGCTCCCCGTCCCGTCCCGTCCGCGGGGCTCCCCGTCCCGTCCGTGCCGGGCTCCCCGTCCCGTCCCGTCCGTGCCGGGCTCCCCGTCCCGTCCGCGGGGCTCCCTGTCCGTGCCGGGCTCCCCGTCCCGTCCGCGGGGCTCCCTGTCCGTGCCGGGCTCCCCGTCCCGTCCGCGGGGCTCCCCGTCCCGTCTGTGCCGGGCTCCCCATCCCGTCCGCGGGGCTCCCCGTCCCGTCTGTGCCGGGCTCCCCGTCCCGTCCGCGGGGCTCCCTGTCCGTGCCGCGCTCCACGCCGGCCGGAGCGCCCCGGCACTGCCAGCTCCCTCTGCAGCCCAGTTCCCGGCTCCCACAATGGGAGGTAACAATGGAAACAGCAGCCCCCATGGACGTTACCACATCCCTCGATCCTTACGATCCTCAGGGACGGCCGGGGGTCCCCTTGGAGCCCCTCCGTGAGCGGATCACGAGTGGGTGGCTTTGATCTGGAGGGGACATTTCCCGCTACATGGTGACAAGTGATTGTCCTTGAGAGCCGTTTCCAAATATCACCTGTTGTGGGCAGTGACATTGGCTGTGGGGAAGCGCTGCCCACGGCTAGGAGAGTTCAGGTCGGGAATGGCTCTGGGGTTGGGAATGGCTTTGGGGTCGGGAATGGCTCTTCCTGCGGAGGAGCCGGAGCGGCGGCACCGCCGGCGCTCAGGGTGGAGGCAGGCAGCAGTCGTGGCCTCGTCCCGTTCCCGCTCGGCTGCTCCGCACACCAGGACAACCCTGGCCGTGGGCACGTGGGTTTCACCCTGTTTTGCCACTTTCTGGAAACCCTGACACCACGGAGAAGGAATCCGCGTTCCTGGATGCGCCTGGCCCGGCCCGCGCGCTCCCAGAGCTGCTTCGGTGGCAGCTTAGAGCAGGGACCTGCGTGACAGTGTCCAGAGCTGTTAATTTTAACCCTTGCTCTGGCTCTCGCTGCAGAGCAGCCCGGTGGCCTCCACCTTCCTCCTCCTCCCTGTGGCCGGGCCGCCTCTCCGAGGGCTTGGGACATGAGCCGTTGTGTCCCCTGCCCCGCCGTGTGCCAGGGCTCCACACTGTCCCCAGGGCACATGAGCAGCGCTGTCCCCAGGGACACGGAGCAGCGGCGGGCAGCCGCGAGGCGCCGTGCCGCCCTCCCTCCGGCAGCTCCCGGGCGCACGTGGGCGCGGGCGGCCGAGCCGCGTGCGCCGCGGGCTCCGCGCTGCCCTCCCCAGCTCGCGGCGCACATCCATTTTTCCGCCTCCTCTTTATTCTCGCGTAGCGCTCTGTTTTTCCGCCTCCCTTCGCCGCGGGCGCCGCTCGTGCCCACGTGCTCCGTTCGGGGCCGTTGCCGCGTGCGCAGCGGGGCGGCGCGGGGGCTGCCGCGCTCCCGTGTCCCCCGCAGCGTCCCGGTCCCTCCGCAGGCTACAGCGTGCAGTGCGAGTACATGGCGCACCGCGAGGGCGTCCTCAAGGAGGAGATGCTGCTCGTCAGCGAGACCCGCGACGGCGCCTGCGTCAAGGTCGTCGTCCAGGCCCGCGTCATGGGTACGTCCTGCGGCTGCGGATCCTGTGTCCCCTTTGCAAACGGCCCCGTGTCCTCACCTGGGGTCCCTTCTTGGCATCCCCCTTGCAAACAGACCCATGTCCTCACCCGGGGTCCCTTCCCCATGTCCCCTTTGCAGACAGACTCGTGTCCTCACCCAGCCTCCCTTCCTGGCAACCCCTTTGCAAACGGCCCCATGTCCTCACCCGGGGTCCCTTCCTTGTGTCCCCTTTACAACCAGCTTCAGCTCCCAACATAGTGTCCCAGGTTGCTGTTCTAATCTGATGTCCTGACCTGGCACCGTTTCCAGCCAGGCCAGTGTCCCAGCCTGGTGTCCCCACCCGGTGTCCTGTTTGCAGCCGGACAGGTCTCCTGCCACAGTGTCCCATTTGCAACCAGTCCAGTGTCTTCACCCAGTGCCCCAACCTGGCATCCCATATGCACCTGGATGTGTGTCCTGACGCGCTATCCCATCCCAATGTCCCATTTGCAACTGGACCTGTGTCCCAAGGGAATGTCCCACTTGCCGCCAGGCCAGTGTCCCAACCTGGCATCCCCACGTGTGTCCCACTCGCACCCGTCCCCCATCCCGCCTCGCGTGCCCGTTGCAGCCGCACGCTGTGCAGCGCGGGGCCGTGCCCGCGTCCCCCGTGCCGTGGGGCCGTGCCCCAGCGCGCGCTGCGCCCGCAGACCGGCACCACGGCACCCCCATGCTGCTGGACGGCGTGCGCTGCGTCGGCGCCGAGCTCGAGTACGACTCGGAGCAGAGCGACTGGCACGGCTTCGACTAGCGCCCGCGGAGCTGCCGGCGGCCGCTTCGCGCCGCTGCCGCGGGACCCTCCTCCTCCTCGGCCCCTGGGTGCGCAGGGGCTCCCCGAGGAGCCGCCCGGGCGCGAGGCACCGGCTGCCCCGCACGGTGCCGCCGAGGCCGCGGGGAGGCTCCCGGTGCGCCGGAGCTGCTGCTGCTCCGCCTGGATTGCCTTCCCCTGCACCCCCAGGAGGTGTCGGGGGGCTTGAGGGCTGCCCTGGGGGCCTGTGCAACCCCTCTCCCCCCACACGCACCCCCAGACCCCCAGTTCTGACCCCTGCCCCCCGTGCAGCCCGAGGTTCCCTCTGTGCGCCCTGCAGATCCACCCCCTGCACCCCACAGTGCCCCCTTGCACCCTCCAGCTTCCCCTTGTGCTCTTCATGATCCACACCCCCCCTGCACCCCCTGATTCTTCCCCTGCACCCTGTAGTTCCCCTGCACACCCTTTGGTTGCCCCACATCCCCTATGGTTCCCCTACACCCCCCAGGTTCCCTCACGCCCCCCGGAGCCCTGGGCTGCAGCTGCACCAGGAGCAGAGCCCAAGCCCCGGGTTCTGCTTTTGCCCTCGGAGCTGGGGGGCCTGGGGGGCTGCCTGGTGCCCCCTCGTCCCCCTGGCTCCGTGGGCACCTCCTGGGCTGGTCTGGGGCTGTGCTGGGCTTCGCTTCTTCCCTTTGCTTTGGGACCTGTGGTGCGAAGAGCAGGGCGAGCGGTGCGGATGCGGAAGCAACAGGATTTCATGTGCCTATATATATAAATATATAGATATATACATACACGTGCGTGTGTGTCTATGCCTAGGGCTTCTTGTTTGGTCGTTTTTAAGTACAAAAAAACCAAATCTTTAAAGGAAAATAATGAAGTTGGGCTGCAACGGTGCCCTGCGTGCCTATGTGGAGCTGTTCTGGGGCCAGGGTGCCCTGGAGTGTCCAATGCTGCTGGTGTGCGGGACATGGGGCTGCAAAGAGGCTGGGAAACCTCGATCCCTGGGAATTCCCAATCCCGGGAGGGCCCCCATCCCCCGGAGCAAGGGCCAGGGCTCCGAGCGAGCGGGTCCCCGGGCCGGTCAGTTGGAGAGGAAGTCGATGGTGGCCCGGACCGTCTTGGCCGTCCTCACGTCCACGGCGGTGACCTTGATCTCGGTGTCGCCGAACTGCATGGTGGCGCGGATCTCGCGGCGCCCGCGCGCGCCGCCGGCCTCGTCGGCGCCGTCCAGCTCGAGGCTGATGGTGCCGCACTTGCGCACGCCGGGGTCCGTGATGTAGGCGACGTCGTCGCGGGCGCTGCAGTACACGTTGATGATGGTGCGGCGCTGGCCGGCGCGCGCCGGGCAGTAGCTGCGCTGCACCACCTCGCCCAGCGCCACCGACTGCTCGGCGGCCACGAACTTCTCGAAGACGTCCGTGCACCACTCCTTGCCCTCCTTCACCAGCAGCTTCTCGCGCGGGTGCTTGCCCTCCACGAACTTGTTGAGGACGCCCACGCCGTAGGTGAGCGGCGAGCGGCGCACGCGCACGATGCCGGGGTCGAGGCCGAAGAGCACGGCGCCCTTGAGGATGGTGAGGCCCACGTCCTGCGGCACCACGACGCGGCACGCGCCGCCGAACGCCGCCTGCACGGCGTGCTGCAGCATGGGCGACTCGGCGAAGCCGCCCACCAGGAACAGGAACTTGACGCCCTGCACCTCGGGCTTGCGCAGCAGCTCCCCTGCGGGCAGCGGGGACAGCACGGGGGGCAGGTGACACACGGGTCCCCCCCGGCCCCCTTGCAGCCCAGCGAGGCTGCAGGGGTTGACGTGGGGCTGCAGTGCGGGGTGGAGGGGAGGACTGGATCCTGCACCCTGGGGTGCATCTAGCTGCAATGCTGGTAGGGGACAAGGACGGGGCAGTGGGGCTGGGGCCACGTACCGATGTGCGCCACGATCTGGCTGATGGTGGGCTGGAAGAGCTCGCTCATGGCCTCGGGCGACAGGCGCAGCATCCCCTGCGACGACCACTTGACCATGGTGACACTGCGGGCGGGTGGCAGGGATGGGGGGGCTGCAGGACGTGCCTGGGGGGGGGTCTGCGCCTCCTGCCCCCGATGCCACCCCCGTGTCCCGCCCTGCCGCCTCACTTGCTCTTCCGAAGGGCCGTCTCCACGTTGTGGCCGCGGTGCTTGCGGTAGAAGTCGACGAAGGAGAAGGGCAGGGAGATGTTGAGGGGGCTGCAGCGGGCGGGGGCGGCCGCGCGCTTGCGCGCCTCGAAGGCGATGCTCAGGTCCACCCAGGCGGCCGGGCGCTTCGCCTTGAAGGCGCCCATGAAATCCTCGCCGAAGATGCGGCACAGCAGCCGCTCGAAGGCCAGGTCCACCCCCACGGCGCCGTAGGGGCCCCCTGGGCGGTGGCAGGGTGGGGGTCAGACCACCACATGGGTCAGACCCCCTCCCCCGTCCATGCACGGGCCGTGCTGGGTGCCAGTGGGTGCAGCAGCCCTTGCCCCACTGCTCCCTTTGCCCGGTGCCCCCCACTTGGGCACCCAGGCTGGCGCAGGGGGGTCCCAGCACCCTCTTCAGCCCCTCTACATCCCCTGCCCAGCAACCCCTCCCTATTGTACCCCCAGCACCCCATCCTGCGACCCTCATAGCAGCACCTCATCCCCTCTGCACCCCCAGCACCCCATCCTGCAGCCCTCCCAGCTGCACCCCCATCCCCTCTGCACCCCCATCGCCTCCCTGCTGACCCACATCCCACCTGCACTGCTCCCGCCAGTATCTCCACCTGCTCTGCACCCCGCTGTAGACCCCAGGCTCTGTCCCACCTGCAGCCTCCCCCCTGACCCCCCCGTGCACCGCTCCCGAACACCCCAACCCCCC